TTGGCTTGGTACAGTTGTTTTATGTGAAGTGCTAAGCCAGTAGTGTGCTGGTGTTTGGCTTGGTACAGTTGTTTTATGTGAAGTGCTAAGCCAGTAGTGTGCTGGTGTTTGGCTTGGTACAGTTGTTTTATCATCCATTTGTAAAAAGAGTTTCACGCGTAAATTTTTGAAGACTGTGATCTTCAAAATCTTTTGTGATCTTTTGCAGTCTCCGTGGTGTAGTGGTAAGACACTCGCCTGGCGTTCCGCGAGCGCTATGTCATGGGTTCGTATCCTGGCCGGGGAGGATTTACTGGGCGCAATTCCTTAACTGTAGCCTCTGTTTAACGCAACAGTAAAATGTGTACTTGGATGAAAAAACGATTCTTCGCGGCAGGGGATCGTATTCCAGGGACCATAGGATTAAGGACCTGCCCGAAACGCTACGCGTACTAGTGGCTCTACAACCATGTAACAACTCTTGTATATGTCTCAAAAAAAAAAAAAAAAAAAAAAAAAAAAAAAAATCTATGCTTACATTTACATTTAGGCTTACATTTCATTCAGTGTTATTAGGCAACATTCCTTACAGTAGTGCCTATTTGGCACCCGCAGGTTCAAGCTCTAGACAGTCAAGTGGAGTACCTATGCCTCCACTGGCTGAGGATTGGCATCGACCACAAAAATAATTGGCAACTTGTAACAGGCAGGAAATGTATTCGGAAGACGCAAAATTGCTACAAGACAATTTAAATATGCTATTAAAATGAAAAAAGATTTGCAGATGCATTTTAATGCTGATAAATGTAGGATTCTGGGCATCTTCTTGAGAGGTTATCTTGAGATGATTTCGGGGCTTTAGTGTCCCCGCGGCCCGGTCCTCGACCAGGCCTCCACCCCCAGGAAGCAGCCCGTGACAGCTGACTAACACCCAGGTACCTATTTTACTGCTAGGTAACAGGGACATAGGGTGAAAGAAACTCTGCCCATTGTTTCTTGCCGGCGCCTGGGATCGAACCCAGGACCACAGGATCACAAGTCCAGCGTGCTGTCCGCTCGGCTGACTGGCATAGATAGTGATAGAGGAAACAGATAAAAGTCAAATACTGTAACATTGAAATTATATATGAATACAAAAATAACATCAAGATTAGTATGGATCTTAAGCCCAAAGATATATTAATTAAAAATAAGCCGAACTTGGTCTTGTATCTAAAAATGTTAACATTTCTGTATGTGACTTGATATCGTCTTCAGCTTTAGCTTGCCTCTGTTAGGACCAATTTTGGTTATGCAGTTCAGTTTTGGTGAGCATACAATTTAATGGCTGTACATTCACTTGTACATGTGCAGAGACAGATGATAACATTAATCCAAGGAATTGGAAATCTCCCAAATGAGGAGAGATAAGAATAAGATTTATTTACATTCTTTAAAAAGAATGAAAATTTAAAACAATTTATACAATTTACAGTCTTTAAAAAAGCATGAGTTTGGGGATATAAATGAAGTATACAGGATAAAAGAGTATAACAACAATGATGATTATGTGGAATAACCACTGAAATACAATTCATATTTTAACTAATTTAAGATATAAATTAAAAAACACTAACATCATGTAGGCACCCATATATCTACTACACCAAGTAGCATAAATCTCGCATGGTTCTTAATCCTAATTATACTAATAGTTATCTACAAAATTTAAAGTTGTTTGTACATTTATATACAAGTTGAGTTACATCTTTGTGGTAAATAAGCACACACTAATCATACAACCCATCCTGTTGAACAGTACATCACATTGTGATTTGTAAAAAAACTGGAGTATACTGTACTAGTACTAGCCAAAAACTGGTTTATAGTAGCACACAGCATTTCGGCAAGTCTTTAATCCTAATTTTCCCCGGAATATGACCTGCCGAATCATTTAACAACCAGGTACACATTCACTGCTGGGTGAACAGAAGTTGCAGTTAAGGACTGGCACGGATTAATTCCTCCCCGGCCAGGATAAGAACACAGGCCAAAGCGCTTGCGAAACGCCGCGCGAGTGTTTTACCACTATGCCATGGGGACTGCTTAGATTGTGATGGTTGTGAAGGTGGTAAATTATGTCAAGCGTAGGTTAGACATGTGTGCATGAATAAGTTTGGGTGGATATAAATAGGAGCTGCTACGTGTGTAGCCAACAAGCTTTCTACACTTCTTATTGGCATTATTTATTGGTGCCTTTACTTTGCACTTATTTTGGAGCAGATTGCTTATATAACCATCTTTCGTGGCTTGTTCAATATGACCCACTGAGCATCATGATTGACATTAAGAGAACACTATGTTGGCTTTAGCTGCTACAGAAGACGAGCAAAATGTTGGTGTAATATACACAGATTTTGTGAAAGCTGTCGACAAATGTGTGTATGGTATTATTGCACACAAAATGCATTCAGAAGGAATTACAATCCTGGAAAAGGAGGGATGTGGATCTTTAATTTCCTAACGAATGGAGCTCAGAGTATAATAGTCAACGAAGTAAAATCCAGATCATTCACCATGAAAAGTTCAGTTCTTAAGGGTTTTGTACTTGTGCCAGTACTTTTTCTCATGCTCGTATCAGACATCTGTGCTCTGCAGGATGAACCGAAGCAAATCCACGTGGACCACAGCAGGAGCAGCGCAGGAAGGCAGAAACCTCTGGATGAAGGATGAATCCAAGGCACCTGATGGGACCTGGAACTGAACCAGAGGGGGTTTTGCAGTCAATCAATCCATCCAGCTCGTATGTAGAGGAGATATGAAAAAGATCTCCTCTCCCCCCCCCCCCCTTCCTCAAGAACAACAGACCCACAGAAGTGACCAAAAGCCATGAAGGTCTGCAAGGTACCCAAGGGCACTTCTCAGGCTCCCCATCAACCCCAAAAGCCTGACATGAAGGCTCAAAGGAAGAGCCGAAGTCCTCGCCACTTAGTGGTGTTAAGCCACTAAACGCACTAAAGATTGATAACCCAAATGAATTTTTCATGGATATGATACCAACATCAAATCATATATCAGATGTCACCCTATTCCCACTGGATTTTGAAGAAGCCATAAACAGTATGCCTATGCACTTTGCACCAGGCCCTGATTCTTAGAACTCCATATTCATCAAGAACTGTAAAAAAACACTATTGCAGGCCCTTCACATTCTTTGGAGACAAAGCCTAGATACTGGCGTTATCCCTGACATACTAAAAACAGCAGAGATAGCACCACTCAATAAAGAAGGTAATAAGGCAGAGGCAAAAAATTAGATCGATAGCACTAACATCGCTAATAAAAATCTTAACTTTAAGGCATGGTCGCCCAACACCCATGATGGGAAGATGTCCTCCCAAGAATAAAGATCCAGGGCAAGGGGACGGTTGTGAAGGCAAGTGCCTTGAAAACTCCCAGCGGAACTAGAAGGTTCAACTGCTTCTGCTGTTAATGTGGATGGAACCACCCCTGGAGAAGGCTGAGCCACATCCTGAGCTAAACCCTGACCTGACTCTTAAACCCTCAGATGCTTTAGAGCCAAAACCGAGGGAAAGACAAGAAGCTGGGCGAATCATCCACAGGAAAAGGAAGAGGAGGCACAGACTTTGTTCAGGAGACCACCAGCACTTCCAATTCTGGGTCCCTAAACACCAAGGAGATCAATTTTGTGTCATCCAACCGATCAAGATGCATATGTGGTAGTCACAGACTTTGCAAAGGCATTTTATAAATGTGACCATGGAGTGATAGCCCACAATATTAGGTCAGTAGGAATAACAGGTAAAGGAGGGCAATGGTTATTACAGTTTGTCAAAACAAACGCCCGTTTTGTTTTTCGTCTGCGAACATAGTCAAAGCACAGTTAAAAGCTCTGTTCCTAAAAGGCACAGTTCTTGCGCCACTGCTTTTCCTTATTCTCATCAGATAGACAAAAATACAAGTCACAACTTCATGTCATCTTTTGCAGGTGACACAAAAATCAGCATGAAAATTGCTTTTGTTGAAGACATTAAAAAAATACAAGCTGATATTAATAAAGTTTTCACTTGGGCAGCAGAAAATAACAGTGGATTAACAGTGATAAATTCCAGGTATTTAATTATGGTAAAAATGAATACAAACAAAACACAATCAAATCTGCCCATAGTAGGTAAGCAACATGGCAACATTTAGGGAACATAACTAAGCAAATTTAGAAAAATGATAGGATGGATTACGAGAACCTTCAAATCCAGGGATCCCATCCCAATACTTGTACTATTAAAATCACTAGTGCTGTCATGCCTCGACTACGGCTCGATACTCACTTAGCTCTTCAGAGCAGGAGAGATTGCTGAAATAAAAGGAATACCGAGAACCTATACCACACAGATGTGATTAAGCACCTAAATTATTGGGATCGTATCAAAGCTCACAAAATGTACTCTTTAGAAGGAAGAAGAGAGAGGTACCAAATAATATATACAGTGTACTGTACAGTACATGGAAAATACTGGAAGGTCAGGTTTCAAATTTACCCAGTAAAATAACATATTGGAAGGAAACTTCCAGAAGAAAGCACTAAACCATTGTGACTATATTATTGTATGGAAGGAAATACAGAATAATGATGTGTGTTCTCTGATTGTGCCTTAAGCACAATCAGAGAACACTGTTTGAACATCATAGGTCCACAGCTGTTCATCACCCTCCCAGCAAGTATAAGAAATATAGCCGTAACAAAATTGTAAGTTTTCAAGAAAAAAACTGGACTTTTTCTGCAAGAAGTACTGGACCAACTGGGTTGTAGTGTATATGTGGGGCCTGCAGGCTTCTCAAAGCAGCAGCCTGTTGGATCAAGTTATCACGAGTCAAGCCTGGACCTGGGCTGGGCTTGGGAGTAGAACAACTCCCAGAACCTCGTCCAGGTACAATATGCCATGAATGCCAAACATCAGCAAACGTAGCTCGCATAGCAGCAGTTGCCTTAAATGCTTCCCACTGTGAGGTAGAATCCGTCAATGCAGCGATCCAGTGACAGTAAACATCATAGGCCTGAAGATCGAGGTGTTGCCACTAACAGGCAGCATGGTGAAGGCAGAAAGAATGAGCATCGTCCTGTAGCAAGGATGATGAAAAGAGAGCCGAGAGAAGGCTCGATGGACCGAGCGGACCACGTCAGAGATCCGCAGAGAATTGATTCTCGAGGCGTGAAGGATGGTAACCAAGCAGACATACCAGCTGCTCGGGGTGCACTACGGCTGCTCGCCGAAAAAACAGACACCAATCGCAGCCAAAACTACCAGGCTAAAAGTGGCGATCAGTGCGTGCCGTATAAACAAGACCAACCACTGCCCGAACTACCAGGGGCCGGATTCAGGAAGGTACTTACTAAGGTTTTTCCTCTTAGCTAAGAGCGTTTTCCGTCTTAGCGCCTTCGTGGCGGCTACGTCCGTATTCAATTAACTACCCTAAGTGGAAAAACCTTCGTAAGTTCATTCCGGGATTTAAGTGTGGTTTCGACCACTCGTAGCTTTACGTAAACTGGATATAAGTCATTTTTTCTCTACTACATAACACTGGGATCGATTTATGATATTGGAACATGACCAAAATATTATACTGTAGCTGGTGAATCTAGTGAAGAGGAATCCTTCGTGTTAGTTATATATGCATTCTCTGCTTGAAACTTGAAGTAAATATGTGTTTGATGATAGTAGAATTAGTTTTATAATAGCAAGATATTATACCAGTAGTTATTAAGTAAATAAACACTGGTGAACATGAAATATGAGAGAAGGTGATGAGCCCTGCCTGATGGGATCATTTACTATCACCAAATGCCCCTGTTCACCTAGTAGTAAGGGTGTACCTTAGCTATACATACCCATTTCTAATTTATTTAGTTTGGTTTTATTTTGAAATTAAATCTGGGTGAGACATAAAATAAAAATATGCTGCACAAATGATGTTAGGTAAGGAAAAGGGTAAAAATGTCAAAAACTTTATTCATTGAATACTTAAAGCTATAATTATGACTATATAGACTATTAAAAAAGAGAGAGGGAAGTAGGGGGTCCAAGACCTCTTCCTGTTATACAATTTGGGTGTGGAACAAGTAATTATCAAAAGAAGGCACCATGCCGGGAAGGCTATGTAGCAGTAAGGCAGTGAGATGAGGCAGCTACTTATTTGAGAAATGCTTATTTTATTTACCTTATAAGCTGAGGCAACTTATTTTATTTGAGGAATACTCAGCTGATTCCTCTACATTTAGCATGGAACAAATTTGTGTCCAAGACCTCTTCCTGTTACTCAATTTGGCTGTGTGTAACCAAACTAGAAGTGCTCTACAAATCAAGGGACCCAGAATGTGGAATTACCTCCTGAATCATGTCAAAGGCTGTACCTCTCTCAACCAGTTTAAGAGTTAAACCAAGTACTGCCTAATTAACTCCATGTAACCTAACTTACCTCCTAAATGTCAACCCATGTCTTGCTATTTTTTAAACAACGCTGTTCACCAACATGTGCAATTGCTGATTTATGCTATGTTAACCCCCTTTTTGTATTTTTTATTCCTTCTTTCAACACAAATTATACCTAACCCCGATTACTATTTAGTTTTAGTCTGTGTTTATTTCCTCCCACACCTTGCCCGAAATGCTATGAGTATTAGTGGCTTTAGGTATTGTATGTACTAGCTCTGCCTATAAATCCAACATTGTTTGTAAATCAACTGTATGTACTTTTCCTGAATAAAATGTATTTATTATTTATTTTTTAATCAGTAAGTATTAAAAGAAGGCACCAAGCTGGGAAGGCTATGTAGCACCATTGTGTGTAACAATAAACCAAATTTTTTTTTAACAAATAATGCACCTGTATGGGAAAACAAATCCTGTCAGCTGTAAAAATATTGATGCAGTTATTTAAATGAAAAATATAATGAAAGAAATATTACTGGTTTATTTTTATCCTATCTTTTTGTACTGTACAGTATATCCAAGGAAGTGAAAAATTGAGACATAATGCACAATTTAATGAATGATTAGCATGGATTAGCAGTTCAAAAGAAATATGACTTGTATTACATATCAACATGAGATCTTAATGATCCATGGTCAACATGATTTAATAAGGATAATACAGTACTGTATTTGTAATAATACAAACTATAATTTAAAATCTTTATTACTGATTTTTTTTATTAAGAAGATTAGGTATACACAGCAATGTGCTGCTACCCTATTCTATATGGAATATTACACAGTGTAGATAAAAAACTAGCTATAAGTTTATCTAATACTCCCATCTCACAGGATGGTTAGACATACTGTACATGGAATCAATTTAGAAAATACCAGCCTCAATACAAAAAACAAATCAACTCTGACTAAACAACTCTAAGCAATTTTCACAAGAGGTAAGCACTGAATCATGGAAACATTATATTATAATTACTCTTACCAGTTTCTACAAAACTCTTCTTTCTCAAACAATGTATTTTTAAACATGTTTAGGTATACACAGCAATGTGCTGCTTCCCTATTCTGTATAAAGGACCACACAGTGTAGATCAAAAACCAGCTACAAGCTTACCTAACATCCTCACCTCACAGGATGGCTAGTCATATGTGGAATTAGGAGAGAACAAAATACTTAATGCTGATCTATTAGCCTCCACTGGCAAAATCTGGGTGCAGCACAAGAATATCTTCCAATATTCCTGAGTGTATGAAGTAATTACAGAGCTCAAAATACCTCATACCATTTGGTATGAAGTCACTGATAACAGGACAATCACAGATATAGTGTTGGAGAGTATGTTCTCTCAAGTAGGACTGAAAACAGATGTTTTTTTTTCCACCAAGAGGGCTATAAACCCATGGAACCGCCTACCCGCTGAAGCCGTAAATGCCAAATTCCAGCTAAAAAATATCATTAAGACAATTGGCGGGCCCTTTAACAAGCCGCCGGCTTTCTGTCCTCTTCGAGGTCACTAGATAGTTAGTGGCCCTTGGGTAAATTCAGTAAATATATACAATAATTGTCAGCGCATCTTCCGAGCAACAAGGACAGCTACACAGTATCTCTTAGAATTACGTAGGTAAACAACAAATGTAACATATTTGTTTACTACAATGTCGGTGCTGGCTGTAGAAGTTGAAAAAACATTGTTTTACTTCGAAATATACTAATTTTATAAGAAAATTCGACGTAAATAGGAGGCAGTAGAGCTGCGATAAGCCAGCGCTAAATCTTCAATATGAAGAATGTTGCTGCTCTCTGATTGGCCAAACGAAACACAGTAGTGACCTCTATCGGCACGCAGGTGAACCAACAATTTTCTTCCTAAGTATACCTTACTGAATCGCACCTAAGCATCTTCTTAGGGCGCACTTAGGAACCTTCGTAGCAAACCCACTTACGAAGAAATACACAGAGCTTCCTGAATCTATGTCCAGGCTACTAGTGGCTACCAGTGCCTGCCGTATAAACAAGACCAACCGCTGCCCCAACTACCAGGCTACTAGTGGCTACCAGTGCGTACCTTATAAACAAGACCAACCACTGCCCCAACTACCAGGCTACTAGTGGCTACCAGTGCGTGCCGTATAAACAAGACCAACCGCTGCCCCAACTACCAGGCTACTAGTGGCTACCAGTGCGTGCCGTATAAACAAGACCAACCGCTGCCCCAACTACCAGGCTACTAGTGGCTACCAGTGCGTGCCGTATAAACAAGACCAACCACTGCCCCAAACCCAATGTCTAATATTCAACAAAATAAAATCCGGTCCATCAATCATGAAGAACTCGGTCCCCCAGGGTACTGTACTTGCTCCAGTACTTTTTCTCATCCTCATATTGGACATGAGAACACATATTGGACACAAGAACACAATCTATAGTACTGTATCATCCTTTGCAGATGAAACTAGGATTTTCACGAGAGTAGGCAAGATAGAGGACACGCCAAACCTCCAATCGGATATAAATTGGGTTCCTCTATGGGCTTCAGAAAATAATATGGTGTTTAACGAAGATACTTTACAGCTCGTGTGCTACGGAAAAAATGAAAATATAAAAACGGAAACCACATACAAAACGCTGTTAAATCATGACAGAACGAAAAGGCAATGTAAAGGATTTGGGTTTACTCATGTCGGAAGACCTTACTCTTAAAGAACACAATAAAGTAGCCGTCACAACTGTAAGAAAAATGACAGGTTGGATAACAAGAACCTTTCACACTAGAGATGCTATACCGATGATGATACATATCAAGACGCTAGTGCTCTCTAGAGTGTAGTACTGCTGCACAATGACATCCCCTTTCAAAGCTGGAGAAATTGCTGACCTGGAGAGCGTGCAGAGATCTTTTACTGCTAGAATCCACTCGGTAAAACATCTAAACTATTGGGACCGATTAAAATGCCTAAATCTGTATTCTCTAGAGTGCAGGCGGGAGAGATACATAATAATTTACACATGGAAAATAGTATAGGGGCTGGTCCCAAACCTGCACACAGAAATAACATCACATGAGACTAGGAGGCATGGCAGGATGTATACAATACCCTCGTTGAAGAGCAGAGATGCAACAGGTACTCAGAGAGAACTATCAACATCAGAGGCCCGAGACTGTTCAACACGCTTCCACTACACATAAGGGACATAACTGGCCGACCCCTCACAGTGTTCAAGAGAGAACTATCAACATCAGAGGCCCGAGACTGTTCAACACGCTTCCACTACACATAAGGGACATAACTGACCGACCCCTCACAGTGTTCAAGAGAGAACTATCAACATCAGAGGCCCGAGACTGTTCAACACGCTTCCACTACACATAAGGGGCATAACTGACCGACCCCTCACAGTGTTCAAGAGAGAACTATCAACATCAGAGGCCCGAGACTGTTCAACACGCTTCCACAAGGGACATAACTGGCCGACCCCTCACAGTGTTCAAGAGAGAACTGGATAAACACCTGCAAAGAATACCTGATCAACCAGGCTGTGAATCTCACGTCCAACAGCCTGGTTGACCAGTCCAGCAATGAGGAGGCCTGGTCGAGGACCAGGCCGCAGGGACGCTAAGCCCCGAAATGTAAAGATAAAGGTAAACCAGTCTACTAGTGGCTACCAGTGCATGCCATATAAACAGGACTAACCACTGCCTGAACTACCAGAATACAAGTGACGACCAGTGCATGCCGTATAAACAAGACCAACCGCACCCCAAAGAAGAGTGAACCCCAGTGTACCCAAAGAAACACCCCGTAGCCAAGGGCCCAAAGAGAGGAATCAAGGATC